AGTTTAACCCTTTGACGAAGACAGTTTAACCATTTGATGAAGACAGTTTAACCCTTTGACGAAGACACTTTAACCCTTTGACGATAGTGGTTTAACCCTTTGACGAAGACAGTTTAACCCTTTAACGAAGACAGTTTAACCCTTTGACGAAGACAGTTTAACCCTTTAACGAAGACAGTTACCATTTGACGAAGACAGTTTAACCCTTTGACGAAGACAGTTTAACCCTTTGACGAAGACAGCTTAGCCCTTTGACGAAGACAGTTTAACCCTTTAACGAAGACAGTTTAACCCTTTGACGAAGGCAGTTTAACCCTTTGACGAAGACAGTTTAACCCTTTAACGAAGACAGTTTAACCCTTTGACGAAGACAGTTTAACCCTTTGACGAAGCCAGTTTAACCATTAGACGAAGACAGTTTAACCCTTTGACGAAGACAGCTTAGCCCTTTGACGAAGACAGTTTACCCCTTTAACGAAGACAGTTTAACCCTTTGACGATGGTGGTTTAACCCTTTGACGAAGTCAGTTTAACCATTTGACGAAGACAGTTTAACCCTTTGACGAAGACAGTTTAACCCTTTGACGAAGACAGTTTAACCATTTGACGAAGACAGTTTAACCCTTTGACGAAGACAGTTTAACCCTTTGACGAAGACAGCTTAGCCCTTTGACGAAGACAGTTTAACCCTTTAACGAAGACAGTTTAACCCTTTGACGAACACAGTTTAACCATTTGACGAAGACAGTTTAACCCTTTGACGAAGACAGTTTAACCCTTTGACGAAGACAGTATAACCATTTGACGAAGACAGTTTAACCCTTTGACGATGGTGGTTTAACCCTTTGACGAAGACAGTTTAACCCTTTGACGAAGACAGTTTAACCCTTTGACGAAGACAGTTTAACCCTTTGACGAAGACAGTTTAACCCTTTGACGAAGACAGTTTAACCCCTTGACGAAGACAGTTTAACCCTTTGACGAAGGCAGTTTAACGATTTGACGAAGACAGTTTAACCCTTTGACGATGGTGGTTTTACCCTTTGACGACATTTTAACCCCTTGACGACGTTTTAACCCATTGAAGAAGACAGTTTAACCCTTTGACGACGTTTTAACCCTTTGAAGAAGACAGTTTAACCCTTTGACGGCGTTTTAACCCTTTGACGATGATGGCTTAACCCTATGACAATGATAGTTCAACCATTTGACAACGTTTTAACCCTTTGATGAAGACAGTTTAACCCTTTGACGACATTTAACCCTTTGATGAAGATAGTGTAACCCGTTAACGATGATTGTTTAACCCTTTGACGATGATGGTTTAACCCTTTAAACACAATGATTTAACCCTTTGACGATGTTTAACCATTTGACAAAGACAGTTTAACCCTTTGACGATGATGGTTTAACCCTTTGACGACGATGGTTTAACCCTTTGACGACGACGCTTTAATCCTTTGACGATGATTGTTTAACCCTTTGACGACGATGGTTTAACCCTTTGACGACGTTTTAATCCTTTGACGATGATGGTTTAACCCTTTGACGACGATGGTTTAACTCCTTTGACGACGTTTTAATCCTTTGACGATGATTGTTTAACCCTTTGACGACGATGGTTTAACTCCTTTGACGACGTTTTAATTCTTTGACGATGATGGTTTAACCCTTTGACGACGATGGTTTAACCCTTTGACGACGTTTTAACCCTTTGACGATGATGGTTTAACCCTTTGACGACGATTGTTTTAACTCCTTCAGGACTCAAAGGGTTAACACACAGTGGTGACTATTTCGCTAAAGACGCCTACGTATGTATGTATATGGCCCTGTTACGCCACTGTTACTGTGACGCTTTTGAAACGTTATTTAAAACAGTCTTATAGTAGGATTTTTACTTATGTTGCCACAATGTTATATCCAACATTAGTTAAGATCATAGTTAATTTTATTTAGTTAATGATATAATAGGTTAAATGTTAAGGTCAAGTCAGGTAAGGTCAGGTTAATGTTACGTAGGTGAAGGTTATGTTAGGTTAACGTTATTTCAGGTTAATATTACGTTAGGTTAAGGGTGTTTGGTTAAGGTTATGTTTGGTTAAAAATTTATAGTTTGATCACAAAAATAACCTCTTAAACGACCCAACACAAAACACTCCCATACACCTGCTGTTCTTCACATGCAAACTGGTTCCCGTTGTTGTCACTTACTGACACAACAGGTATGCTTCACTGAACCATACCTCCCATAAGTAACACATCAAAATAAAAATTGTATTAAAAAGAATGTGGATTTAGTAGCTATAGATATGAAAATAGTCTCATTAATATAAATAATCAGATAAATTTAATCTTACACTTATTACAAAGAGAAAGTAAATTACTTTAAGATTTGTATATGATGTAAAAACTATCTATTATGTTTTATAGTAACTTAAATAGATATAGAATCTATACTAGTATGATATTTTTACTGCGAATTTGGTTGGTAAGTCCACCAATGAGAGGCTGTTGTTCCGTCGGTCCATACCTGTTGTCCAAAAAATATTAACAACAAGGAACCAGTATTCTACAGCATACCTACGGAAAATTTTTAAAGGTTTGAAATGGGGAACAAAAGTTTGGTTAGGTTGATTCTGATTTGCTTGTATTAGCTCCAAATAACTTTTATTAGATAGATTTGGGTTAGTTTACAGAGGATCAGGTGAGAAATTATTATTATAGTTTTATTTTAACTTGAATTTAGTTAGAAGTAGGCTATCAAACAGGGAGGTACTACCCCCTGGGAAGATATTGGAAGCATAATGGTAGACCCAGCTGCCATATGGCATCACAAAAATTGTGACCAAGTCCCAGGTTGCTGACCTGACTTTCTGCCTCATTTACACACAATTGAAGGGTCTCAATTGTTTCTCTTACTTTGACGCCACAACATATGTATGGTTTCTCACACTTGATTTGTTTGTTTAAATTGTTTTCCATTTCTGACTTTATTTTTGGTTATTTTTTTTCTCCCCCAGTCGGTGACCTGTACCTGGGTGGGCCAATCAAGGTAAAATAAAAATAATAATAATGCGTCAGGTTAGTTTAGGCTTGGTTAAGTTCCCGTTACTTGTATTAACTCAAAATGACTTTCATTATATTGAGTTAGGTTACTTTAACAATAGTTTGCCCCAAAAATTCAAATGATTTATTTTACATTGAATTTAGTTAAGCATTATGTTACGTTAGGTTGGGTTTAATGTGAGTTAAAAATACAACATTTCTATTTGTTAGTTTAATGAGACACCCCACCTTATTTCACCTGAGTAGTAGACACCAGCGCTACTTGGAGAGTCAATTTATTTTAGTTTAGATAAGGTTAGGTTAGGTTGGGGTTTGTTAGGTTAGCTTGTTTAACCATCAGGTGAAATATACTAGTGTGCCTCTCAGGTGAAATAAGCTGGTATGCCTCATCTTCAGGTGAAATAAGCTGGAGTGCGTAATATTTAGGTGAAATAAGGCTGGTGTGCGTAATATTTAGGTGAAGTAAGCTGGTGTGGTAATCTTTGGGTGATCCGTTATCCCAGACCTTGGCCATAATAATATTTAACCATGAATTAACCTTATAATTGATTAGGTTTGGTTTAGGTCATGTCAGGTAAGGTAATGCTAAGGTTACATTATGTTAATATTATGTCAGGGTAAGGTTGTACTGTATTATGTTAACGTTATATTACGTGAAATGTTAAATTAAGGTAAGATTAAGGTTGTGTTAGGAGAACATTATGTTTTTTGTTAATGCTATAGTTTGTTTAATATCAACTTAAGGATATGTTGAGACAATATTAGGTAAAGTTGGTTAGGGTTATGATAGGTTAAGGTTGTGTTAGGTTAATATATAAGATAAGGGTTATGTTAGGTTACCGTTACTTTAGGTTAGTATTAGGCATATGGACGTGTGCATAAGTTTTTCGTCACGTTTCTAGAACTGTATTTAAGTTTAATGAAACATTATTGCAACGAAACTTCTGCCATACAGAAAAATGTTCCAGTGCCTGTATGTTCTAATATGACTGTTTAATAAAGCTGAATTATTAGCTGGGTACCAATACAAGAAAGATTCAAATAACTTGCGGTAAATAATGACAATTTTTTTTTATATGAGTTGATGTTTCCTCAATATATATATATATATATATATATATATATATATATATATATATATATATATATATATATATATATATATATATATATATATATATATATACTGTGTGTGCTAATAGTTAAGTAGCTCAATGATCATGTACACTGATCAAGCAAAACAAAAAACAAGTGCTACAGCCGCCATGTTTGTTGTGAGGCGAAGTGGCTATTTTCGCCAAATATAGCTAGATATTTTATTATATAATTAATCTGCTCATTTACTGTTTCTCTGTTGAGAGTGAGTGTTATTTGCATAGGTTATGACTCTTAAAAAGACTCTCAAAAGCATTTTGTTGTTTTAGAATTGTTAAATCTTATTAAGCTTATATAATGAGGAATTTGTAGGTAATGGCAATACCATCACTGTTTTGGTACGTGAAATATTCTAAGACACAAGTTTTAAATATATTATTTTTCATGTATTTTATTAAACAAGACATGAAATATTCACATTGCTCATCGCAAAATCTATAGCACTTTTCGAGCTCTAAATATAGTGGGCATACTTAACTATTATAAGTCGACGTGAGTTTGATCAGAATGATTAATATTGAAATGCACGTTTATTTACTTCTATAATTTTGATCAGATCTCTGAAAAGGACAAACGAAATTCCCAAAACAGGTAAATTCCTACATCTAGTCAAACAAATTTAGATGTTGCGTCGATAATTAACTAAAATGATCGGTTTATTAAGCAATTTCTCATCAAATTATCTACACAGTAATAATTAAACAATAAACTGCCTTTCAGTGTATCACCATTGAATTATTGTTGCCATGGCAATGGTGACCACAGCAGCAGCCCTGGCTACAGCAGCAGCAATAGTGGCGTGACTGGCGAGTCGCTGGCGATATCCCGCCACCACAAGTTGTCATCCGCTGGGAGAGAGTTGCGTCTGTTGGTGTTGGAGGCCTCACCTGGGTACTGTGTTGTTGGAGAACAGGTTCCGTGGTGCTGGTGGCGTCACGATGAACCCAGCAGCGGTGCCCACACCCCTCGAGGATGTACAGGGGGATGGGCGCTGGCTCAGCATGGTAGGTGCTCAATAGGGCGGGGACCAGCCTGCACTTTTGGCTTGGGGATGACTAATAATTTCTTCCACAGCTCTGTACTATTGACTTTTTAGAGAGATCTGCTTTATCATTAGTTTTCATGTAAATTACGGCAAAAGGCAACTTATAGTACAGAGGAGAAACTTCCATCCGATAAGTTAGGCATTCACTGAATAAATGCAGAAGTGTTAACTATACCGTACTGCTGTCTGAAAACTGAATACTTTGGTGTGGTTGTTGTCATTCAGACCCTCTTGTAACTCAGATCACATCCTAGTGGACACCTTACATACAATCACATCTTCAGTGTGGCATAACTTCCGATGCCCCAGCACTTTATTAATGCATTTTATGAACATGTCCATCCCACCTCAGAAAGTGGTTGTAAAGTATCCCAGAGGACCCAGACCACACTGACCCCATTGTACTTAAACACCAGAACTTGTCAGAATATACTGTAAAGTTCACCTAAACACTGGGATCTATCTTTGTATCAGAATCTACCATTGCCTGTAAGCTTCGGCCTAAGATAGGTTGACAATAGAGTGCTTAGAAGTTCCTGTTATATTAAGGCAGAGACTTGTGTCATATACTGTACAGTACTTAAGTTGGTAATTAAGTTTAACAGTATTGTCATATACAGAATTATTTAAGGTATTATTGCATTTTCACACCCCACATTCCTATCCCTAATCTATTATCATATTCTAATAAGATGTCTAATTATAAGATAATTTTCTTCTATTACATTACCAGCGCAAATGTATATTAACGTAGATAGCGTATCCAAAATTTTCTCTATTTTATTCCATTAATCCTCTGCCATTATCGCCTACCTCACCTCCCACACTGCGTGTCTCCTTCATAAATCATCACGCGCATGCGTTCCCGTACACGTCACGCGGTTTAATTCGTGGTATTTTTGGCCCAATCAAATTCGATTTTTATTTTGGGTCATATTTCCAAATTCAGATTCATTTCCAACCATGGAAGTCTGCGATTGGTGTCACTTCAATTATATGGAGCTGATTGCGAGTTTTTTGAAAAAAACGAAGAAACTATAGCATTTTTTTGATCCCATGGTGTTCTCCCGTCCTCAGTAAAGTGTTCTAAGTGCAAGAACGAATGTAAATATCGTCAAGACCAACATATGTGGCATTGTGGTAACTCCTCCCTTATCCCAAAGACAAAGAAGAGACGGCCAATAAGGTAAGAAATAAGTGATTCCATCATATGGTGAGTCAGTTAGGTTAGGTTTGGTTTATGTTTTTCTTTTTTTTTGTGTGTGTGTATTTTGTATTCGATTAGCCATTATTTTTTTTTTTGAAAACGCCCCACGAAAAAAAAAGGCCATTTTCCGACGGAAATGAAGGTCACAATTGGTTTAAACACACATAAATACACTAGAAAAATATATTTTTTACTGTCTAACAGAGTTAAGTGCTCTTATGCAAATTTACCTTATTTAATTTCACTCTGTACCGACTATAGTCTTAAGCACAAGAATTGCAAATGAAAAAAAATGGTTAAAGTGCAACTTGCAACAATAAAATGGGTAATACTTTGTGACATTGGCTCTTGAGAAGAAGTAACTCGAGGAAATTTTTTATATAGAAGGAAACTTACATCTTGAATAAAAAAGATATAGAGAAATTGCAACATTCTTATTTTTGTCTTTCCCATGTTTTTGTCCAGAACACGAATCTACATTGGCACAGGAGCTTCCTGGGACAAATATTTCATAGACATTAGTGCTTCTTTGGCAGCAACTTAGGAACATATTTGTATAGACGATTCTAAATTCTTTAAGTTAATAATATACAGTACCACCATTTCACAAAGATTTGCAAAAAGTTTTGTGATATTAATTCGGGATTTTGCCTTGGTTGTGTTTCATACCTAAATAGCGTACTCACTTCTCCCTCATTAAACAAGATGATATATTGTAGATAAGGTAAACCAACCAAACCTACCTAACCTGCCAACCCAGGGATGGAAGTCCATTATTATTGGTCAGGATAGGTAGGTTGGTTGGTTACAGTGTTATTTTAATATCTTACCTTATTGTCAACAGGAGGAAGAATGCGAACATCATGTTCCAAGTTTGCACAGACCGTATTTACTTCTAACAAAGACAAGGGAAAAACAAAAGTAAGAAAGTTGCAATTCCTCCACCTTTTTTTGGATATTAAAGAGGTGAGAAAGAAGTTTTCTTGTATAGAAAATTTCTAAAGTTGTTCCTTCTCATGAGGCAGTGTCATAAAGTATTACTAATATATTATATACCAAATGCTGTACTCCTTTTAATAGAGGCAATTTTAAGAAGATTTGGCATTCCCAGCACAGTACTGTCCCTTAGATTTATTTCTATTCCTTTGGTTTGGCAAATTGTAAAAAATTCTCGCTGAACTACGGTATGTCAGATTTGGGCAGAAAGTAATAGCTGAACACAATATATTTTCATGTTTGGTGGTACAGGTACTCACACTTTTCTTTCTGGTAAATATCACACATGGTCCAGTGATAGATTTTGTCAGTTTGACAAACCATCGAAAGCATTAGGCTACTGCATACGTGCCACTTATCGAGTACAGTATTGTAATGAGAATAACAAAGTTTATCTTGGAGTTGATTCTAATAAGTGAGAAGAATCTTAAGTTTATAAGTCCACACACCTTAATTTGGTTTTCACCAAAATCTGTTAAATGAATTACCCGGTTGGAATGAAAATGATGTTAAAGTAGCCCACACCGATTCTTTCTACTACCGTACGTACCTCCAAAACTAAGATGACCCCCATCTCTCACTACTGCAGTGTAGATCCAAAGATAACAAGTTAACAATACTGTATTGTATAGTACTGTAATCGATTCAGTACGGTCCTGGATATAATTGCTATCTTTCACTGGCACATTTCAAATGATACTGACAAAATGGAGGGTGCATTGTTTGCAGATCAGGAGATATTAAGCAATCTGGTTCAGATCTGTTCTGGGATGTAAATGATTTTTTTTTTCTGAGTGAATGGACAGGTATAAACCATTACCTTAGCTGCTTGTGGTGTGAATACCAGAGCACATACAGTATTTAGTTTCCTTTTTATGGTTTTGTGGATTAAAAAATCAAACTCCTCAGAAGAGAAGCTTGTTGAAATACAACACCAACCTCTAGTTTAGACCAACATATTGGTAGAGATTGAAGGGTTCCAAGAGTCACTCTAAAAGTTAGGCCATAAATTTTGAGTGAGAGTGATGGGTTCTCATAGGTTCACTGGGAAAGTTGAAAGTGTAAGATGCAACCAGCTTAACTGGGGTCTGTTTGGATACAGGTAAATGTAGAAACTGTTTTAGGTACAGAACTGTACTACTGTACTGTATTAAGTTCCACAGACTGGGGTAATGCTCTGGCTGATACCCATTCCATTCAGGCAAACTGGAAGGTTTTTATAGCCAATTCTCCTGAAAAGAGACAAGGATGAAGATAAAATACACTAGGTATACTGGTAAGTGGTGCAGTGTAGTACTGGACTACCTTCATAGGTTGGAGGGGCATAGAGTAAACCCTCCCAATACTGGATTTATTTTTGCCAGCCCTGTCCATTATTGGGAGTAGTATTCCCTTAATTGGAGGGTTTTTTTTTTCTCTCCTGTGCATACAAAAAATAATGGACTAGAATATAAATTTCACACATAATTTCCATCCATCAAAATGCACATCTTTTCTGGAATGAATACTGTAAATAATAAGTTTATAAGTCCACCAGGCTTTGCAGGTTATGTGGAACATATGCTTGTCCCGGGCAAGTGACATGAAATTTACTTGTCCATATTTTTTTTTTCAGGGGGAAAGTTAATTAAACATATTGAAACATTAAAATTTATAGTGTGTCACAGATCACCCATGTCTGTCTAGATACCTTTTACCCTCACCCTTTTCCATCCAGTGGACAATTGCAGCGTCTGGCTGGTGTCAGGGGTAATTACCCTTGTCTTGTGATGTGTTAACTCCACACCTGCAGGGTGTGTGGGGAGGATTTAGGTTGTACCTGTAATTATCCTACCTTAACTACCACTCCCATTCTATAATCTGGTGTTTGAACTGCTCAGTCATGTACCAACTGACGACATGGTCAATAATGGAAAGTCACTCCCATTAATGGATTTTACAGGTTTTGCCTGCTAATGATCCTGGACAAAAGGCATCTGTTATTGGGAATATTCAGACATTATTGAGAAGGTTTAGTGTATATGTAGCTGTACATTATATATACTACTGTATACCATATTTGAGTACCCCTGTGAAAAATGTCTTAGCACTTCTGGAGCCAAATTTTTTTTTTTTATACTTTTATACTTTTACTTTTATCCTCTTCACCACTGATCGGCTCGTTAGCCATTTGGGTTGTCGGTCACGTCTCTGTTACACACTGTTGGCAAGTACTGGGCATGCACCTACTCCTGAATGTACCTGAACCTGCTCCAGTGTTAGTCAAGTCTGATCTTGAAACAGCTCACACTCGGTACCATCACAACACTCTCTGGCTGGTTGTTCCAAGAGTTCACAATTCTCACTCTGAAAAAGTTTGCCCTCACAGTTTTTTTTTTCAACTTGCGGCTACTTCAACCTTGAGCTATGACCCCTTGTGGGGCGGGCATCCACCAGCTCCAGGTATGGACACTCGATTGAGTAGTGCCCTCTGAGATGTTTATACACCTCAATTAGGTCCCCCTTTGATTGTCTGTAGTGTTAGCTATGTATTATATTTGTCAAACCTTCCTTTTTCAGACCCAATTGATAGATAACCAGTTATGGCATAAACAATGGGAGCAAAAGTTCCTTTAAGTCATATACAGTAGGTAACTGTACTTAAAAGTAAACAGTGCGCTCTGGGATAATTTGAATCCCATAGTCCCGAGCGAGTACTTTTGTCTCCCTCAGCCATACAGAAAGTGAGGCATCCAGTCATGGGGCGTGTAGCTACCACTACAAAAATTTTAGCCCTTCCCGGCCATTCACGATCTCTGAGACATTTGTCATGGACCAGCATTCCTTTCCTACTGCTATGTGCTGTATACCAACAGTGCCATACAGTATTGTCTTGCTCACAAAGTAACAGTATCCCCGCACTTCTTTTTAGGGAATATAAAAATACATTACAGGTACAATAATCTCCTGAATTACACATCACTTTTTCTCCATGATTATTAAAAGCAAACTTAATTTAATAGTTTATCATGAAAAGTTTTCCTTTTTATTCTCACTTGACTGTTGTTTACATGCATACCACTATAATTTTATGTATTTACCAATTATAATATTAATTATTTGTCTATATACCAGCATAATATGGGGGTCATAAGCTACAAAATATCAAATAAATGAAAAATAATTCTGTATTAATTCGAGTTATATTAATTTAATTTTTTTAAAACTTTAACTGCATATTTTTGCTTTTTTGGGGGTCACTGGCATTTTTCGCTCAGGACGTCTATGGCTTTAGGGTCAGGAGGTCATGAGGTTAGAATTCAAGATCACAGCTTATGGTATTTGGATCTTACTGGTTAAAAAGGGTGGCCTCATTTGAGTTGACACAATCCTTGCATGCATCTTGGTGAATGGATGAGAATGGTTGTCGGCAACACAGTGAGAAAAATAGGTAATCTGTTATCATAGCAACTGATTGGGGTAGGATGGAAGATTCAAAATGTGAAGTTAGGTTTCCTCATGTGAGGCACAACATACAACTTACAGTAGGTGTTCCTGGGTTTTGGTAAAGGTAAATTTACCCTATACAATACAGTACAGTACTGTATATGGAACTCAGTCCAGTATGTATCACACCTCTTTTATTGTTCTGTTTTATGCATCAATGTTTAGTGATATTTATACAGAAGAGCTGATATGAAATTTTATTTTATTTTTTTATATTTTTTCAGCACAATAGATTTGTGAACCAAGCAAGAGAAAGTGAGCCTGATGTTGTGTTTGTGGGTGACTCATTAGTGGCCAGCCTTCAGTCTACTGATCTATGGGAGAAGTGGTTTGCTCCCATGCATAGTCTCAACTTCGGTATTGGAGGTGACCAAACACAACATTGTCTTTGGAGACTTCGAAATGGAGAATTGGAGTACATAAAACCGAAGGTAAGATTTAGTTGCTTGGTGACTACACACTTAGGAGGGTCACCAGTAGAGTACATGCAAGGGTGTCTAGGGTGGGGACCCTCCTGTCCCTGTGGAATCCCTGTCTATGAATCTCATGGCTGTGCCTTGGGGGGAAAGGCTTTATTCTACACTTAAAAAATTAATATCACTGAGATTGAATGTTGATATGACTTATCATTTTGTTTTTGCATCATCTTTCACTGCTTGTAGAAGAAATATATTACAGTATTGTACTTTGCTTAATGTATACAGTATTTATCATAAGAAAAGGGATAGCATCAAGAGAACATAATGCCTGGTTATGTACTCTGCTTTATACTGGAAGAAATCTACAACTGGTTGATGCCATGAAGGCTATTTGAAGGTGGTGGTAGGAAATGAATTTTCAATGTTGCTAATAAATTTCAAACTGTTTTGATATTGGTATTTGGAAATGACATGATAAGAATGACTACTGTACTGTACTCTTACAGGCAGTTGTGGTGTTAGTGGGGACCAATAACCATGGACATTCAGCTGCTGAAGTTGCTGGAGGTATTACAGAAATTTGCCAGACAATTAAGGAAAAACAGCCAGAATCCTATATAATTGTTCTTGTAAGTAATTTGTACTTTTTTGTATTGAACTGTACCAGTATTTTCATTTCTCCCTAGTGCATGTTCTTTATAGGAAAAGTAAACCTTCAATATTCACAATACAGATATATAAGTTTGTATTGTCAATATAATTTATTGCGATGAACTAATTTAGATTATAATTTCCAGTTCTATGCTGTTTCCTATGCCACAGATGGTGCTAGGAGTTATAAACAAAAACTTAATACAGTAAAACCCCCACAATTCATACTCCCCTAATTCAAAATCACTCATAATTCGTAATGTTTTCCTATTACGAAATACAGGTATGTTACAATTTTTGTAATATTTGGGAAAATTTCAAATTGAGACATTTACAAATATGTATGGATGCGACCATTCGGTTCACTGTAAACAAGAACTGTAAACGCGTGTCGGTCAGATCACGTCTGTGGCCTTGCGTGTGAGCTATTTCCACCAGTTTTTCCATCATTGCCTAGTGTTTGTGCCATTTTGTCTGATAACCCTAAATCTGGTACTGTCCTGTACTTAGAAATGTTTAAATTTTGATTGGGGGCAGATAACAGAGAAGTACCATTGTTTTGTTTATTTTTCCCTCGAGTCTGTGTCCATCATAATTTATAAAATCTCGTAATTCGTAAAGGGTAGAGCCTCTATTATTTCGAATTATGGGGGTTTTACTGCCACAGATCAAGGAGGCCAACAAAATCTTATATTATATTACAGTGTAGAGTTAAATTAGTGGTTTAAAGGGTAATAAAAATTATCTGTAGCTAACACCAGACAAAGGACACGGTAAACGTGGTCTGGGTAAGGCTAGTTATGTTTGGCTCTGGGAACATTGAAGATTTCTAGACATACTACCATGAATTGCTTACCACATCACACTGTCACTACCCTTCATTCCTCATTACTAATTTAATACATTATAGATACAGTACACTACAAGTATATGATGTACAGGAATACAAGAGGAAAATTAGCATCATATCAGGGCCATAGACCGACCTGGCAGCTGACACTTCTGGTTCAACTGCTACCAAATAGAATTTAAAATTGGTGGAAGATTTAAAAGCTACCATAAAATAAAAAAGTACATTATCTCGTAATTATTTCAATTCAAATCACAAAAAACATATGAATTTGTGAAAATGCACTGCAATTTTTCATTTTGAAAATATAAATGTCAGCAGAAGAATGATAAATCTGCAGGTCTGCTGATAGAATCAGTAAAAGCAACAATGTTATCGCCCCAGGCTTCAGGAATTAAATGCCACTACTTTCATAGTTTCATCCTGTACTATGAATATTTTTAAGGTTTTCACAGGATATTCTACTAGAAATTCAAAATGCTACTTATATGTAGGTGGCAAAGGCACTGAGAAAGATAGTACAGGTAGTGTCTGCTAAAATCATCAACTGCATGGCTTACCTCATTTTTTCTTTTTTTTCCAGAATTTTTGTATTGCCACTTCTTCTAAATGTTTGATGAAATGAAATGGCAAGTGGAGCTTTCACAAAAGTTAAAATGTCAGAATTCATATGTAAGAGGATTGGTAAAGACAGTCTCAAAATGTTTAGAGTCGAAGCCAAGGTCACTATCCCACACATTATAGTGACACTTTGATAGATTGGAATAAGTAGCAAGAGTTTGCTGAGATAGTCAGGGAACTAATGAACACAAAAGGGAATATACTGTAAAGATAAATGTATTAATGCTAATTTTATAGATAAATCAGTTGTAATTGTGTGCCTGACTGGTTTGATTAAAGTAAGGGGGAAGGTGGCCAAAGAAAAAAAAAGAAGACTTTTTTAATGAGGAATTTTAGCTTTCATTTTGGTTCCCTCGCATTTATGTTGAACATTAACATTTTATTTTTCACAAAATATTTTGAACCAAGAGTTAAATGTCAGTAAAATAATTAAGATGCAGAAGCCCTCTTTCAATATAACCAATGTAGTGCTTTTCTCAAAATCTTATTGTCATCTCCAAAATCACAAAACTGACATCTTAAAGTAATTGCTCATTGTTTAGCCTTGCTCTGTGGGGAATTTGGATAATTTTTATTTTAACCTAAGTACCACTAGCTTTATACTGTACAGGAGTATGTAATAATATTAAAACAGGTCTTGAAGTATTTTGGTGATGCTGTACTGAACTGGCTGCCATCAGTAGGTTGTGTCCAGTTAGCCCATAGAATTAAGAAGAGGATTCTTGTACTTCAGATGATTAATGTGTTCTCATTAGTGATTGTGTATAAACTTTGGTGTTCCAGACACTTCTACCCCGAGGAGAAAAACCTAACCCCCTGCGCGAAAAGAACAGTCAAGTCAATACTCTCATTAAGGAAGCTTTACGTCAAATTGAATTATGCCAGGTTAGTTATTAGAATGAGTTTAAATGTGTTGTGTGATGGTGTTGTCCACTTGTCTGGTATCTTTGTTTTCAGTTCCTCAAAAACTAAAGTCAACATCTGTTAACTTGATATTATGGTTGCCATTAAGTACACAAGGTCTACAAATTTGAAATTTCTGTGCCTTATAAAAATTATGACAGTCCTTATGGTCTTGTGTGTTGAAACAGTCCTTATGGTCTTGTATGTTGAAATACTGTACAGTACAGTATTCCAAAATTACTCTGCCTATTAACTTTAAACTTAGTAGCAGTGATCACCATTTGACAACCTAATTTTTTGTTTGCATTTTGTTTAAAACTAGTTGGGCCTTCAGCACTAGTCCTTGTAGGAGTGATTACAAGTCAATGGACATTTGACCACGGTTACTTCAGTACAGTACTTTCAATAATCTGAATACAGTATGTTTGATTAATATATAAAACACATGAAAATGCTGCTGTTAATTTCTGTGAAATTTTCCTTACTGTTGGAAATAAATTTATTTTAGTATATTAACACATTCTCAATATTTCTTATTACTATCATCAATATTGTTGAAAATAATTGTGCAACTTTGTTAAACAATTATTGACCAGCATACAGTACAGTATGTTGCCCTGTAAGATAACACTCTTAAGGTCCTCCTGCACTGTTATATTTTATTGTATTCTTTTTTTTTATCTTTCTTAGATACCTTGATCTACTTTACACAAAAGTGGGAAGTAGTTAAGCTAATTACTAGATACACAATTACTACAATAGAATGAATCACCTTATGTAATTTGTGTACTGTATAATTATTTTGACTTCTAGATCCTTTCTTGTTAATGCTATGTGAATTATTTCTTATAATTCAGTTACTTTTGAAAGAGTTTTGCTCACTCACCTCTGGGAGAGGAAAGGATTATTTAAAAGATTCTTTTCTAAGGTGACAGAAACTAGACACATATCCTCAGAGACTGTTAATTAAGTTTCATCATACAGTGATGGTTGTTGGTAGACTTATTGTACCTGATACTATTATTAAGTTACTTCTGTAGGAGGGTACTGTACTTTTTGTCTCTTCCTTGGTATTATTCTACATTCACCAAACTCATAATTTATCTTCAGTATCCAAAGTCTGTAATTTTTGACTAATTATTTGAAGTTCCAAACATCATTTGACTGAATGTGTCACCTGATTAGTTAGCTCACCTGTTTGTTATTTTGGTGATTATTAGTTTTACACAGAGACCAAACCAGACTCTAGAGTGTGATACTGGTACTGTACAGTATCAGTTCTGGTGTTTTCATAAACTTATAATTAATATTTATAACCACTCGATAACACTGCCAAGTGGTGAAAACATTGTCCAGATAATATTAATTTTATTGTTACAGATTTTTTATGAAACTTTAATGAGAGTACAGTACAGTACTGTACTATACTGTATGTACTGTATATCATTACTTTAAAGTGTGCAACATTAAATTGAAGTGTCTAAATATGTATCATCACTATACAACTACAGAACACTAGTTTTCAGATAATTAGGCCACTCATTAGGTCCATCTTTTGTCCACACAGCATAAACAAATTTGTGAGTTATTTAGTTATTTTGACACAAGATTGGGGAGAGATATTGTACTGCTAGTATTAATTCTTACCTGGTACTTGTATCACTCAAAAATTACCTGTTAAATAGGGATTTGGTCTCAGAGCACTAGACTGCTAACCTATTTTGATAACTACTCTGCCAACATAGTCATTGTGGCCATTATGCACAATGGAAATGTTTGAAATGGAGTGATATATTTTGTTTCATATTCTCCATGATGTAGTGTACATCATCATAGCTTGCTTATTTTCACAGGTGGTTAATATTGATCGTGAGTTGGTCTTAGGAGACGGAACGATAGATCACCGAGACATGTACGACTATTTGCACCTTACATCCCAGGGTTACCGACGTGCCTTTGAGCCAGTCTTCATGCTTCTGACCAATTTATTGCAGGAAAATGATACTGCAATCCTCAATGATGCTGCTCTTGCATCTCCAGCTTCAGATAATCCCCCAGCAGACAACCGTGGATCTTGTGCCGAGTAACTTGTATATGGCACCAAACCGGTCTATCTACAGATGAACACCACTGCCCTGGTTTCTTGACAACCTCAGACATGACATCATATGCTTGTAACACTGCTGCTTTATATTCTAGGCCCCAGAAATATGCTGATCTACTTTTTGTCACATGTGCATTGTTGTTTGTCTGGCTTGCTTTAACCTTGTAGCACATTCTTCAGTCACCTAACTGTTAGCTAACTGCTCAATCTTGTCAGATTTTGTTAAGATTCTAGGTAAAGCTCCATGCAACGTAGCAGAGACCTTACTACATGTATGGTAACATACAGTAAATATACAACTACCCTCACTTATCATCTGCCATTAAGAAACACCATTCGTCTATCAAAATCTATTTCACTATGTCAGTACCATTCGTGTTCCTCTCTATTATTGCATTGTTTCTGCCTTTAAAGCATCACTAATCTTTTATTATTGCATGAAGTAGACATATAAAGCCATATGACTGTCAGCTTGCTTATATTATTTACTGTATTTTTTAAATGAACTTACAAAACTAGAGCACATGTTAACCAATTCTAAATTTTTTACTGAAAATTTCTTTATAAAGTTTTAGAAGAAACTTTAACTAACTTTAGTATTGAAAACTAATCTGTAGGTGAGGTTTGTGCATCAAAACTATATTTTTCATGGTGATACTAATTGGATTATTTTATTTTATTTATTAATTTATTTTTTCCTTTGTGTGGGAGTAGAAATTTCTGTGGGTATTAAATGTATGCTTTATTTTATGAATAATATATAAAGGGTCTGAGACATTCACAAAATGGTTATGGATGTACAATTTGGTTTGCACAATATCACAAAAAAAAGCTTTTGGTAGCTGGTAACTGAATATGGTTTGTGTCATGAAATTTCTTACTTGATCAGTTTCCATTGTAATGATGTTATTTATTATATAGACGGAGGCTGTATAAGCAGTAAATTTCTTTTGATATATGAGGAAGAGTTTGAGTTCAGTGATGCTTCTGTGTTTTTACTTCTGCCTGCATACTAGACAGTAATTACTGAGCAGTAATGAGTGATGCAGTTGTAACTGACGAGTTGTAAAATCATCAACTGTATTGTGCAGGAAGAACTTGGAGACTCGCAGTACAGTATGATGACTGCATGCAGCTTACAGGATATTTGAGAATCAGCTTATGCGAGGGGTTGTCAAAGTGCAGGGGTCCACCAGCTCCGGGTTTGTGGTGAACAACGCATTCCTAGAAACCAAAGTCTAGAACAGAAGGACTTGCTAAGCCTGTTCTTGTGATACAGTTTAAGTGATCTTATTTTCATTATTTAAATTTTTGTTATTACTAATGTTGTTACTTGTACATTTGCATTTCCTTTGTTTTATAATGCACTTGTGCAACTGCTTATTATTATTTTTTCATCATCAGTGTACAGGACAGTGCTGTGTGGTTTGGGTATAGGTACACAAGTTTTAGCAGTATACAAGTAAATTTGCATGTAATATTTGTATTAAGGAAGTGGATGTGAGTAGTATCTATTTTGTACACAGTATTTATTATATACAGAAAGATTTCTGTACAATATTTTGGCAATTAACATTGGGGCATAATATTTGTGTTGATGAAGGTGCTGAATCTAGTCTCAGTGAAATAGTTCATGGTCAGTCTAGTGCCTGCATACATGAACTGAGGAAAATGTTTGAATGAACCTTTGCTTCTTTAGGTGCACCCAATGTCATCAGTGTTCAATGATATTTAGTGAACTCTGGAGCTGTACCTACATTTTTGTACTTCTCACTTCCAGTACTATTGCTTCAGACTCAAATGATATTGAGGTACAGTTTAACTTTCCAACTGACAATGAATTTAATGATAAAGTGATAAGGACTTATTATTACATTGGTAATTGAGTGTAACATTCCACAAATAATCTACTTGATAATATAATATTATTATTTTTTTTGCATCTAAAATAATTTGGTAATGAAATGTTTATTCATATGTTCCATATGTGGAATATTAGTGCACCTTATTATGTTTTGATTTAGTAATTCAGCTTATGAGACAGATTTCATAATCAGATTGTCCTGTACTTTTAAGATAACCTAAGCTCAGTGTTTTTGACTGCAAATCACTGTACATGTATACCTATGTATTTACAGCTTGTTATAGAGAAAGGCTAGCAAGACATATACAGTACTGTAACAGAGTTCTGCTATTGAACTTATACATTATCAACCCATGTGACTGTTGCTGATCTAGTGCACCAATGATACTCTCATTTGGCACCCATTTTTAACAGCCAACTATAAACTGAATACAGTATTTATTTTTTGAAATTATTATTGGTTGTGTAGTTATTTTAAGGACTACAAGAGGTTTATCAAAATTTGCTAACCTCAGGCTTTACAGAAATATATAGTGGCAATATTTTTTTTACAGTGTTTACACAATTGCTAAAATGCTTAGCATGGCTATCAGTTGAGTCTTGTTCTCTTTAGTATAGGCAGAATGAAACCTGCCAGCTGGCAGACTAGTATATACAGAGCTCAGCATGATGCAGCATTGTCCTTCAGGTAGGAATTTTTCTCACCCCTTTGATGTTTTCATTCATCTTAGAAACCCAACTTCCTGCTGTGGTTTTCATTACCAAAGAATTCACTCTAAAGTTGAAGCATTTTTATGTTAAGTTAACCTCTCATTCACAGACGTTTACACGTGACATTAATTTCCAGGCATGCTAGTGGCGGAAGTTAATTAGGTTCAGTATGGCCAAGAAATTGGGTTTTTGTAGGAATTGTAATTGGTTTGAAGTTAATTATGTTTTAATGGGATCAGTTGAGGAATTGGACATGTCATATTGCTCACATATACTAAAGATTTAATTACAATTAAGAATCTCATAAGTTTAGTTCACTTTGCCATATAATAATGACAGACCTGAGGTGTTATGTCCAGGTTAGTTTGATGCACCTTATTCTCTCAGAAGAGTAATATATTTTATATTATTCAGGGTGTAACATCAACATTTTCCTCAAAGATGCATTTATGAATGTTAAAGAGATTTTTTACGTTCTATTGCCCACAGTCAGCTTTGAGTGGTAATTACGAGTCTGAATACTCTAATTATTTTCTTTTGGTGGTTCAATGCAGCCTGTCAAGGTTTAGGGGTAAACATATCTGTGTACATATCCAATTACTGTTTTCTCCTGACATCCTCCTAAGGAAGAAAAGGCCTAACTAGTTTCTAACATGAGGTGATTTTTATCTCTTCAAGGCCTAGAATGTTTTTCCAACAGCATGTTTACCCCAAATTATGGTAACAACAAATGTTAAGAAAAATTCCATTCTCAATAGTGTATATTTTTTATGCTGAAAGACTGAGCAAAATTTCTGTGTAGAATAATTTTTAAGCTCAAAGTTGTTAAGGTTAACTGATAATTAGCAGGATGTCCTCAAAGGTAATGCATTTATGACATGGTTTAGGTTGCTCTAAGAGAGCATTCATTTTAGACCGATAGTTGCTATGAATGATCACGTGTATGCACTCGCTGCTCTACTGTATTTAGTTTGATATTTATCTTTATACGTACACATGCCCAATTATAGTGCAGCTCACCCATTCTCTGTTCCTGTATAAAACTATACTATTAGACGAGTGTCAGTGCTGTACGGTGTGTGTTTCCTCCGAACCCGTGGTTCACTTTATTACGCAATGTACTGTACAGTACAGTACAGTATTCTATGTTTTGAATTATTACTTAGTGTCATTTATGACCAAAAGCATTCGTTCTCTTACTACTTGGTGTTGTCACAGGTCAATATTTTCACAAGAATCACAGTAGCTTCTTGTAATGCTTGTGGAGAATATATCACATTACTTGTAGTTTTTCTTTTTGAAAAACTTTAGCTGCCAGACTTTTATTACATGTGAGACTTTAAGTTGACATCCACCATGTTGCATTTTAGCTTTAATGATTCATTTAAATTCTGGTCTTCAGTTTAATTAAGTAATGACTACTATGCTTTACATTAAGAAGACAAAAGACACTGGTGGCAACACAGCAATGCTAACCTACAAAGGCTCTTGTGCACCTGTCTGTTTTATGTATAATTAAATTATTTACAGTTACTTTGTGTATTCTTTGAGTGTCCAAGTCTCTTATCTTTATGTTAATGTTGTGCAGTAATCCTGAGTAATTTTCAGAAAAACTTTGGAAGAATCACTTGAGTTTATATTTATTAGTAAGCAGTGTACACTACAGTAGAAGCAAGAGGAATGTGTTACATCAAGTGGTTTATGGGGATGCTACAGCAGTAAGAGTAAATGGATGTCATAAAAAGAGCATGTGTTTGCTCTTGGTTACGGGCACCTTTCAGTACAGTATACAGTGGTCCCTCGGTTAACGAACACAATTCGTTCCAGAAGGTCATTTGTTAACCAAAACCATTGTTTCAATGGGATTTTGGGTAATTGGTTCCAGCTTACCGAAAATTACATACAAAATAAAAATAAATGCAGTAAAGTACACTTACTTTGAGGTGTGCATGTAGAAGGCTCCTGGTTGATGATGATGATGAGAGGAATTAGAATGGGGATGGAGGAAAAGGGAGAAGAGACGGCATTGGGGTGGAAGAGAAGTCAGCCCATGCCGCCATTTCACCCATAAAATTTTAGTTCACTTGGTGTAATTCAAGATTATTTTCTTTAAATCAACACTGCAGAATGACCAATAATTGTACTGTAAAAACGTAAAAATAGTTTGTTCAAGAGAGAGTGCAGCAAGAAGCTTCCTCCACTGAGCAGGGACACACACTGACGCCATTTTGGGTGTGTTGAGTGGCTGTTTGGCGTGCTAAAAACTAGTTCCCAATTATGTTAAATAATTGTTAAAACGACTAAAAACTTTAATATAAGACTTGGAAAATTATTGAATAATACAACCTTCTTGATATTTACTCAAATGGTAACGAATTTAAGCCCTAAAACAGATTACTGTATTGGCGGACTAATACTACAGCTGGTGAGCAGGCGAACACTTGTTGGGAAAAATTCATAAGGAATTCGTTGACCGAAATTTTTTTGTTAACCGAAGTGAAGAATCTTATGGAAGGTAATTCGTTAACCGAAATTTCATTAACCGAGGGATCACTGTAGTGTAAAAGTGTATGAAAGATTGAAAAAAAAAATCAAATTCACAGGCCTTTATATAAAATCTTAAAGAGCACTTGCTGAATAGGACAACTCACATAACACATTTTATGTTGATGTAAATCCTCTTGTTGTTAAACAAATGCTTTGTGTGGATACATACATACATAATGGACAGCTCAATATGCCCTCTTATGCTATGCTGGAGGAATAAAAAATACCCCATTGCCTCATCATACATTCTAAATTTTTATGCTTCCATCATAAAATATGTCGGGACTATAATTGGTTAATGAAATTTTGTAGGCAGTTTCATATCTGAAAAATTTTGTGTGAGTTTGATAATTAGAGATTTTCAATGTTATTTACCATTTTTCCTGTGTTGACTTATAAATTTTGTTGGCAACATATGTCAACTTCAGGGAGAGTCTAGATTTTCATGTTATTCTTACACAGCTGTAAGAAAACCAAGCAAGTTGAGTCGACTTCCAGGATCCTGAGAATCAACCATGTTTTCCATGACTATGTTGAATGCAGCGTTATCCTGCAGCCGAGTGTCCCCATCAGGCAAACTCAGCAGCACCTGAAGGTAGAAAAGGTTATAAGAAAAAAAGGAATGCTACAACTGCTTATGACTATCATCATCATCTTCATCCTTGTTTTATGGCCATTTACCATGCTATGATTTCCTGATTACAGCTCTTCATGCTAGGTGGTCTCTTGCAGCCTCTCACATCAGGTTCTTATCTCTGAGGTCATTTCTCACAACCTATCCGTATGTTATTCTTGGCCTATTCATGACTCTCCTCCCCTCCACGTTTAGACTCGTACACCTCTTGAACCAACTGGTCTCCATTCTCACCATGTGCCAGAACCATCAAGCCTACCTTGCCAATGCTCTGAATACCCAGCTACCCTCTTAGCTCTGAGTAGGGTCTCCTATCTTTCAATGTCATACAATAAGTCCCCAAGCTTACCTTTGCTTCCCTTGCCTGGTTGTGCTCCTTAATTGCCACACAATGATAACACCTAGAAAAAGTCCTACTCCACATATCAAGAAGTGCTCAACACACAGACCTTCTTGGCTCTCTCTGATCATTACCATGACTTCATCTGCAAGTTTGGGGAGAAGCTTCTTCACCATCCTTGACACAGTCTCTTGCTCCTACCCAAGATCCCATGTCTGCGAATTGCTGTTCGACACTACAACCGCATCCAGCCCATACGACCATGTTGAGTGCTATAAGAACAGCCCAATCCCAACCGTTGTAAAAATTATCGACAACTCGTAGTTAGCCAGTGTGTTCACTCCCTGCCAACTTTACTTTGTACTGTTACTGCTGAAATTTCCTGTTGAATGACCTTCATCCCCCTCTTGGTATTACAGTATGTACGGTATGTTGCATTTGTACCGCTTATGTTCCTTATATATTGTAATTGACAATCAAGTGACCCATTCCCAAATTATGTAACTGTCATCATTTCTGTTAATAATAATAATTCTAGATAGTAACTAATGAACCACTAAAACACAGGGCCCACCTTATACTGGCCTATAGGAGCATCATCAGGGAGGGTCATGGATAGCTGGACACTGTGGTCACCGGGCTGCCAATTCCTCAGATCCACATTAGCTGGCTCTGATATGTAGCCCACACCACTGCTCACATGATGTAACACCAGCTGAAACCCCAAACACAGACCACAATTGAAGACAAAGAGATATCTCACAAATATTGTTCTTATTCATCAGTATCCAGATTTTCAACAGAATGAACACAATGAAAAACTTCTTCACGCAGCGGGTAGTAGACCTAAGGAACAGTATACCAGCTCAAGTTGTAGAATAAAGAACAGTACTGGACTTCAAAATAGCCCTTGACAAAACTCTCAAGAACAATGGAGGGTTCCTACACATGTCACTGACCTTCCCTAGTGGGTGGCCAATAGGTAAATAAGGTATTATTGATTATTTTTGCTACCTTTTGGTGACAGTTCAACTAGCTATGGCTGAATCTTAGTGGAATTCTAACTCTATAGTGATTGCTATCATTGTGTAGTTGCTTTAGTGACCATTAAGAAGAAACATCATTTTCCAGATTGGAGATAAATTTCACATATGAATGACTGAGAAAATTGTTTCAGGATATTCCTTAAGCAGTCAGTTTTTGTATGTGACAGACCATCAAATAACAGTCTTGTTTGTAAAAATTTAAAGAAGAATGAACTGCAAATTACTGGGGGATTTATTTTGCCCCAAAATTTATATGTACGTACTTTATATAAATGTATGTCATGAATATATACAACAGTAACTAGATTAGGGCCAGATACTTTGTTGTCACAACTCCTTCCCTTCTTGATAATAAGAGTTAACCACACTAGTGAACTGCTTCACCTGTTGCATGTTTCTCTAAACTGACAACAGGAGCTGCTCCATGAAAAATACATACTTTATTTTTGGTTGACATTGGTCAAGGGCTAACATATGTGATTACTCTTAAGTATTTTCATAAGTGTCAAGAAAGTTTTAAATAAATTTACTTTGACAAATGATAAACCTATGTAATGTATTTGTAATTGAAAAGGAGTTTGAAAAATAGGCTTTAAATTTGGTTTTGGAAGAAGCAGAAAAGAATGTTGTACTGGTACTGGGAAGAATGTAAAGATGAAGCAACTTTCTCACACCACCTGTACAGTACTTACCTGCCCTGAACGGTAATTGATGGGTGCTGCCCACCCCTGGTTGGTGACCTGCACTCCCACGTTCACCTCCCCTCCCACTAACACCTGGTCAGGCACCTGTGCTGACTTCCCCACTAGACGGTAGCCCATCGACGACCAGATCTGCTGACACCAAATTGTAATTGATTAGGTATGTACGTATACGGTAGTAATTTTAAGGATTAAAAAAAAGTTATAATAATGAAACTGCTGCTTTAATTTTTTTTTGGCTCCAAACATAAAAAACGTAAAGAGCTTTTTATCCCATGATAAACATCTTGTAGTATCAGCCATTCCTATATGTTAAACAAAGCTGTAATTATTTTAATAAATTTACATCTTGACATTAAAACTGCATCATGATAAGTATTAGCACTTCTGTGAGCTCGTCACTTGGACTCTACTAATATATTTCCAGTCCAGTATAGTACAGTATTTGGTAGCTTGAACTTAATGAATACTAATTTCCTGTATACAGTAGTTTGTGTAGTGGATTGTTTTACTGCATCTCTCTTCTATCCCCACACTCTCTACCTTATCCCCTACCCCTTGTCCCTTCCCCACACTTCCTATTTCACTCAACCAACTCTACCCACTGTCCTGTGCCTCTGTCCAGTATTCTGTAAACCACTCCCCTCTCCAACATCCTCTCCACCATTCACTAATCTATCCCTACACCACCACCATTGCCCCAACTGAGACTGACCGTATCATAGCAGCCTTGTATCTTCCAGCTACTGAGGACAGCAAAAAGGTTATCACCATTGAGGAACCTGTAGTGCAGTTCACTCATCTCCTTCAATGCTGTTGGACAATATGACCTGCAATTGTGGATAGGTAAAGAACAGCAGTTAGCAGAGTAGGAGTGACCTTGAGAGTTAGAGTCACAGATCATGAGCAAACTTGATTGAGAGGGTTAGTAAGACTAACCTAGTAGGGTTGTATTTGCAGGTCTCGCCACCTATGGAGAGGTACAAGGTTTCCTGTTCAACATAAGGGTACTCTTCTGACTTGTTCTTGTATGTGCCAATATCATTATCGGACGCCAAGAAGCAGTCATTGTGTTGCCCTATCCTTGCCACCTGACACCAAAAACAAAATCTGAATAAGAAAACCTTCTACATTCATTTGCAAGTTCACAATTCTGGAGATTGTCTTGCCAACCTACACCACTGAAGAAATTTATTGCATCATAAAATCATAAGCCCGGGGAGAGTGTTGTAAGCTCGAAGAATATAAATGGTTTGTAACTTTGTAACCTTAGAAGACTTGAAGGACTTAATATGTGGAGGATTGTCATAAGCTCATGTTACTAGAGGTACATCTTACTGGAGCCACAAGAGTGCTGAAGGCTTAATTGTGTCATGCTCACACCTTTGAAAATTTTAAAAACTGTCAGTTATTAATAAACTCTCTCTAATAAATTCAGAATGAACCTGAAGTAAGTAATTAGTAGGTAAAGTAAGTATGAGACTCACGGGTGTGTCCTGAAAGGCCTCATCCTCAGTAATGGGTGAGCTGCGATCCAGGATATTTCGCTTGTAGTAAGGTGTTCGTAATTGGATCTGCCTGTGGGGAGATACCAGAGTTTGTACACAAGCAGGGCAGAGAGATCCACATCTTATAGATGGATGCACAACTTTCAGAGTCTGGATAGATAATGTACAGAGTTTTTAAGCATTTATCACTGATTTATTGAATTTTGTTTAGTCCTGAAACATAAGACAGTTACCCACCTGGATGCAGGGAGGGCCTGCAGGAGCTCGTTGACCACCTGCCCTCGATTGTACCAGTCTTTGTCAGTGAGGTGGTCCTCGTCCCCATAGTTTGCAGTGAAGTACCACTCACCCCACACCCCAATAAAACCAGCCTGCATAACTGCTATCACCCCAACGTGCTCCTGCATCACCGACATATTTCACATTATCAAAATATATACCTTTTGTTCATGCTGTACTGTACTGTAAATATCTCCAAAATAGTTTCAGAAATAAACCAGTTATACAGGGTATTACTACACTTTGAGTCTTAAAACATTATATTATAAATGTATTTTATTGTGTTGAGAAAGAAGGATTTTGATGATATAAAGCATAATGTAAAATTATTTATTATAATGCAAAACAGGTCACCAGAGGCCTATTTTGATTTAACCAGACAGGAGACATTACAAATATGTTTACCTGAGTGAGCTCACCTGGAGTATGGGTGTCAGTTGTTGTAGGTGAGATGCCAGCTGGGCAGGCTTAGCATCTTCATGGTTGTTTTCGTCGAAGGTGTAGCAAAACCTTAACACAGTCTACAAAACAAACTTCTGTAAACAGTTGTACCTGCTAGAATGACTCCATGTCAACTATAATAATGAAAAAGGCATAACCTGACCTATTGTAATAAAAGAGATTATATTTTTTTGTGAAGACACTCTTCAACGAGACATCCACTTACACACTGCATGATGAGATGTAAGCACAGTACAGTACACGACACTTCATTGAGCTTACGTTACTGGTTTATTGTGACTTTCCCTGACTAACATAACAGTTAGGATTCTTACTTAACCTCAGTCTTCACCTAGATTGCATTTCCACAAGGTAAAAGGATGGAGAAAATATTTGTTTTTATTTTCTCTTTCTCTTCTGCTGTATCTACCTATGTACACCCACCAAAAAAAGTCATGTGAATCTGAGACATCACGCAGTGTGCCACCTATAGGCCTAACACTGTGTAATGTTTCGGAATTACAGGTTCATAGGTCTTGGAATTCATGGATGGGAGGAGGACTGACAGGATTTTTTTTGGTGGTTCTACCTTTCATTCATTTGCTGTGTTTATCCCTTTTGTGTCTATAAATATTTCGCTCTTTCCCATTCCTTCCCTTGCTGTCTCCTCAATAAAGTGTCCCTCCTCACCTTCATGCCCACATCCCTCAGGGTGTCAAAGTCCTTGCTGATCTTCTGCAGGATGTCACTCGAAATGTCACTATAAACGAAGGTGTCCAGTACCACATATCTGTAAAATAACATGTTTGATAACAGAGAGAGAGAGAGAGAGAGAGAGAAAGAGAGAGAGAGAGAGATAATTGCACTGTACCTAAAAACAAGAGTATAGCCGTCGTCGATCCACTCCTGAAGTTGTTGTGGCTTGAAGGGCGTCCAGGCAGATGCAAGGGTAGCCGAATACTTGTAGAAGCCTCTCTCAGGGTTACCTCTCCCTAACCCTGCTCCTGGGGCTGTGGTCGGTTCTGACAAGACCAGTAAATTGCATATGAGCGAAAGAACACAACACAAAAAGCAAATTTTGTGGAACATTTAATTACAAGAAAATAAGAACAATTCTTACTGAGAACAGTTGTAGTAACGTGCAATGTCTGTCGAGGAAAAAATAAACTATTGAATTCACTCTTCTATAGGAGTATTCTTGGTCGCCCCAAAATGCATAACTAGTTATGCTATCTGTAACCGCCCAATGAGCGACTGTGGGATACTGAGACCCTTGCACTCAATTGTTCTTTATTCGGTCAAAACCTGCAGAGTACAAATTACATACTGTATGTTACGTATGAGATAATTAATTCAATCGTCCGTTCCTTCACTATTAATGACTACATATAATATATTTGAGTAGAGTAGGGTGTTAAACCATATAAAACTTACGTGTTTCAGGTCTGATGCAGGACTTATTAACTCCCTGACTTGATGGCTCACTGGACCGCTAGAGACTAGTTGAGCAAGTCAGCCCGAGGCGAGGGCCATCTGTTTCACATTTAACACCTCAGCAAAGCTCGTTGTCAACACTCCCTCTGTCTCTCTCCTGTCCCCCCCTTCTCTCTCTCTATCCCTCTCTCTCTCTCTCTCTCTCCCTCTCCCTTCTAGTTTATCCTACTGTGGCGGTAACACTATCTACTGCGCATCTATACTGCGCATACCCAAGTTTTGCCTTGGAGGCAAAACTTCTTCAGAGTTGATATGCTCTCAAAAGCAAAACTAGTTGTTGTCTTAACTTATTTGGAAAGTGGGCGGAGATGAAGGGAAACTATCCAATCACATTCGTCGATCCATACACTCAACAGTAGACAAGATGAGACCTATGTGTGAAATTTTTTTTCAATAAAATCACAAATTACACACAGGATAGTAGATGTATATCACTTGAAAAATATGTTGTGTATGAAATTGCTTAGTTTGAGAGGCTTTAAATGAGATGATAATCAATACCTACATGCAACGAACTGGGAATGGCAGTGGCAGCGCTGTTGGCGTGTTCTTGGTTGGTTATCAGTCGGCGAAGCCAAGGAGCATAACTAGTTATGCGTTTTGGGGCAACCCAGAATACACCTCATCTAAAGTGAGTCTAACTATCATACATAAGGAGGCATTATGGCAAGGGTTGTGTGAAATTTCTACTACTGAAAAACATTTACCCATTTTCCCCAATAATGTCAATAAAATGGAGCAAAATGCATGTGACAGCTTGTAATTTTCTTATGCACAGAATGGATGTTTTCTAGTTGTGCACTTGGACACGCATGCACAGTATAGTGTGGCGTAGTGTGTATGGCCAGTAGTCTATTTTCTCTTTGTTTGGCTCACATACATACGTACTGTACATGTCGGAGATCTCCCACTAAGGATGGAGGTGAGAAAGGAAACTCACAACGGCATTTTCTTCACATATATTATATGTACAGAGCAGTCAGGTGCTGGGAAGTTGCTGAGAAGTTGTTGCATAGTAAAGGAGTTGCTGTGGAGGAGCTTCTTTAGAGGAGGTTTTCTCTGCTTAAGAGCTTGGTGTTGTCTGCCCCCACGGACTGACTGACTAATTAATGACTAGTGACGGGGAAGAAGGTTCAGGGGAAGGATAAAGGGAGGATGGAAGTGAGTTTTAGAAAGAGAGGAAAGGCACAGTGGCTTAAACACCGCTTGCGTGAGGGGGTAGGCGATGTGCCCGGATGGGTGGGTGGTGCTGCGACATCTCGCCAGGACGAGACCGAGGAGGGTCGGGCCAAGCATAGGTGCTCTGGCTGTTTTGGTGAAGCGGAGGAAGAACTGCCCCGCCACGGCGGCGGCGCAAGCTGAGAAGCGCAGGGGGGCGGGCGGCAAGGACACCACTCACTCAAAGAAAAGCAAGGAAGGGGAAACGGAATGTAGGTTAGTTGTAGAGTTGTTTGGAGAAAGGTGAATGTAAAGTCTTTGAGCTATGTCAAAGAGGAGCGGAGCCAGTTGGAGGAAGAGTTTTGAATCTTTGAGCTTGAAATGTCAAAGTATTCGTAGCAAGGAAGGATGAGCGTATCGTAGTAGAGTGTTTTAGTGAAAGCAGGAGACAGATTTGAGCTTTTTTTGTCAAATTATGAACGGAGATTAAGATTTTTTTTGTTTCATGAGTGTATGTTAGATTTTGTTTAGGGGGGGTTTAATTCGGGGGCTGGGCTTTTGGGGTCGGTAAGTTGACTTGTGGAGTGATAGTTGGGCGAGGCAGGGGGGGGGGATATTTATATCATTCTGCCGGGCCAAGAATCGAAATGCTAAGATGAGAAATGCTGCTGATTGGCTAAGATGAAGGCGGCAACTGACCAATCACCGCGCGGTTCGAACGCGAGGGCTGATTTGTGGAACTCGCCGCTGGTTGGCTGGTAAGTGGACGGCAGGTGACCAATCAGCAGTTGTAGGGGAGAGTATTCACTACAATAGCACCGAGATAGAATTTTTTTTTAAGGTAGAAATTTCACGTAACACTGGAACTGTATTCAACTTGCTTCACTTCACTTCCCAAACTGTAAATTAGGTACCCATTCGCTGTTGGATGTACTGGAGATACCAGATATACTCGTATTAACCAGTGAACTAGAGGTGAGCATTGTCACTACACACTTTATAATGTATCAAAACTATGAAAAAAAATGTGAAATGCTTACCAAATTTCTTTGTATTGAATACAGACCCGACAAATTATTTTTCTGCTGTAAAGTATGAATGACAGAGAGTGAAATAGTAATTGCATAAGTGGGCCACATGAATGACGCTCCATCAGTTGGCCACATGAATGAACCTCCATCAGTTGGCCACATGATTGACCCTCCATTAGTTGGCCACATGATTGACCCTCCATTAGTTGGCCACATGATTGACCCTCCATTAGTTGACACATGAATGACCCTCCATTAGTTGGCCACATGAATGACCCTCCATTAGTTGGCCACATGATTGACCCTCCATTAGTTGGCCACATGAATGACCCTCCATCAGTTGGCCACATAAGTGACCCTCCCTCACTGGGCCACAAAAGTGACCCTCCATCATCTCAGGGGCCACATGACATGACCCTTCATTAATGGGCCACATAAGTGACCCTCCATCAGTGGGCCACATAAGTGACCTTCCAACAGTGGGCCACATGAGTAACCTTCCATCAGTGGGCCACATGAGTGACCCTCCATCAGTGGGCCACATAAGTGACCCTCCCTCAGTGGGCCACATGAGTGACCCTCCACCAGTGGGCCACAGAGACTCCATCAGTGGGCCACATAAGTGACCCTCCATCATCTCAGGGGGCCACATGAGTGACCCTCCATCATCTCAGGGGGCCACATGAGTGACCCTCCAACATGTCACTGGGCCACATGAGTGACTCTCCAACAAGTCAGTGGGTCACATAAGTGACACTGCAACATGTCAGTGGGCCACATAAGTGGCCCTCCATCATCTCAGTGGGCCACATAAGTGACTCTCCAACAAGTCAGTGGGCCACATAAGTGACCCTCCAACATGTCGGTGGGCCACATAAGTGATCCTCCAACATGTCAGTTGGTCACATAAGTGACTCCAACAAGTCAGTGGGCCACATAAGTGACCCTCCAACATGTCGAAGGGCCACATAAGTGACCCTCCAACATCTCAGTGGGCCACACGGGTTCTAGATCAACGAATCAGGCATTTGGTAAATTCAAAGAGATACAGTGGAAGTCTTCTCACAGTAATGGGACAGGTTCATTCAGTTTCATGAAGCTCCGACATCTGCTCTGAGAGGGAATATGAATCAGTGTCATGAACCTTGACAGTCAGTTTGGTTGCCACTGTTGCCGTGTTAACGAGTGATGTGGTGATGTGTCGTCGTTGGTATAAGAATATAAAATCAAGAGGTAAGTGATGATCAACACGGGTTGTACTTGTTGGGGTTAATGTGTTAAACATAATGGTGTACAGTGAGGATGTAGTGGTTGCGGGCCAGTGTCACGTCTATCTGCTTCTCCTGTCCAACAACCTCTTGGCCACTGCTCATGGGTCAGATTTGATATAAACATCCACCCAGTCTAGTTGCTCTCCATTTGTGTACTTTCATCAAGGATACCAAGAACCTAATATTATATACAACATTTTTGGATAAAGGGGATTTTTCATAAAGAATTATTAACTTAGCGTGGGGTCCCCTGGGGAATCGTGTAAACCAGCAGCAAAATGGAGTGATTAGACCAGTCTAGTTTCGTGCCCTGGTATAATTATGCTCTTCCAGTGTTCAGATCATACAGTAGCTGTTTTATACGGAAATAAAGTGGGATATTCATTTTCAAAGTTCATCACTCCCAGACAATAATACGTGCACAGCAGTCTCGGTTCGGCTGGTATTTCTGATTGTGAGTTCTTTTACTTACCTTTATCCTCTTCACCATTGATCGGCTCGTTAGCCGCTTGAGCGATCGGTCACGTCTCTGATTACTTTTCCTTTTCTTTTATCATCTTCACCAAAAGATCGGCACGTTAGAAGCTTGGGCGGTCGGTCACGTCTCTGTTACGCACTGTTGGCAAGTACTGGGCATGCACCGGCTCCTGAATGTACCTAAACCCGCTCCAGTGTTGGTCAAGAATTGCCTTGAAAGAGCTCACACTCGGTGCCGTCACCACACTTTCTGGAAGATTGTTCCAAGAGTTCACAACTCTCACTCCGAAAAAGTTTGCCCTCACAGTTTTTTGGACTTGCGGCTCCTTCAATTTTGAGCTGTGACCCCTTGTGGGGCGAGCGTCCGCCAGCTCCAAGTAAGGACACTCGACTGATTAGTGCCCCTTGAGATGCTTATACACCTCAATTAGGTCCCCTCTTGCCCGTCTGTAGTATAAGCTAGGCAAGTTCAGGCGCCCCAATCTCTCCGGGTAGTTGAGGTGCCGAAGTGCAGGCACCAGTCTGGTGGCTCTCCTTTGAATATTTTCAACCAACTGACAGTCACTAGCATATCTCGGGGACCAGACGGGA